AGTTGGAAATATGGACAAGTGTGTTGCAGGAGAATTCTAGGATTAATTAGCATCTCATTGGCTCGATGAAATATTCAATAAATTCTCTTGTACAACCTGTCATTTTGTTGTTTTCTTGCCACACAATTCAAAATAGAAACACTGACTAAAGAACAACCAGATAAAAATGATTGCTCTTTGTCATTTTATATCATAGAGAATTGCAAAGGCCAAATATATATACAGACATCTCACTTCATTTATATGGTTTCTATGGACTATCAAACAACAATATTTTCTATAACTCCTGCACAATTGTTTCCCCACTTCAGAGCCACATAGTATCTGGAATTACCAACACTTATTCATCCACATGTTACAAATGAAGAAATAAAATAAAAACAGCCACCACTTTGTGCAAAGCATTTAATTTTTAAATACTATCTTTGAAATATTTTCATCTTTTCTCAAAACTGTACTTTTCTAAATTTAAAAAAGAACAAACAAATAACTATAAGTCTACATTATTAAATATCTGTATAAGAAAAAATTTTTAAACATTTTAAATATTATTTTTTTCCTATATATATATATATATATATATATATATATATATATATATATAGAAATATAGTCTTAAGGTGTGCTATATTTATGGGATAAAGTGCTCAATATCAGAGATAGAGCGTGTGTAAATATAAAGTGAACATAGAAGTCAACACTTAGGCGACAGTCTGTTTCATGCTATATGCCTGACGATTGCATATAGCATGAAACAGACTGTTTAATCTAAGTGTTGACTTTTATGTTCAATTTTATATATATATATATATATATATATATATATAAGTAAAAATTTATTCATAAAAACTCAACACTAGTATATAGTAAAAACAAGAATGAATGAAAACTATTCTATATAGCATTCTGCAGAAGCCATGTTGAGTGACATTCACTACCTGTTTCTCCATTCCAATCCTTCCTCTGTCAATTTCTTGGAAGTATAGAATCTGGCTCATGTTTTCATGAAAACTTACAAATGACAAAAGAGATGGGGGAAGGAAATCTATGGCTATCACATATAGCGGTTCTTTAATAGTTGTGCTATTCTTCAGAATATTCTCTTGGCTAGATTGGTAGAAAAATTGAAATTGAGCAAACATGCATAAAATAGTCATTCAGTTGAAGTATAAAAAGTTGTTAATATTTTTAATATTTACAGTGAACATTTAGTAAGTGGTGTACTATTGACAACTAAACTTTCAAAGTACCAAAGAACTCTTACATTTATGCTATAAATAATTTATGTCAGGGAACAAAACTGAGACACACAACAACAAAAAACACAAAAATTGATTCTATAAAACCATAAATGAAAATTTGATATCATTAAGGATTGAATTCAAAATAACCTCTCATAATATACAAAATGTTTATTAAAATCAATAGGCTACATTTCTAGAGGACATATACAGTTGTGCTTTAGATGCTTACCTTATTTTCTGGCATTAATTGGATGGTTTTATTAATTTGAGATCCCAAATTGGATGTCAGATTTTAAAGATGAATGTTATTGGAAGTTATTTTTAACATAATATTTTTACTAAAATTAAAGTGAAAATTTCATCACAAAATTAATCTAAACTAAGAATGATTGGAGAATTTTAAGGTTTAGAACTTTCAAATACTATTTCATGTTTAGATTTTTAAAGTGTAATCTTTTCAAATTTTATTTAATTGTCAAGCTTAAAATCTGAAAATATTAATATTTCTTTTTCAAGAAAGTAATAAATTAACATGTTATAATTTACTTAAAATCACTTGTTTGCATAAATTGTTGAGATTTATTCCTTACACATTTATATAAAAATAGAATAAATTAGAAAAATATTAATTTTGCTTGGTGTCAATCTGTCACAATGCATTGAAATGGTTAATATAACCAATTTTCAGCATTTATTTCAGCTCAAATGAACTCTGTTAAAACAGATTTAAATTTTTAGACTCCATTAAATTTCTAATCACATTATTCATAACATTAAGAGCCTTAATCTATTATTTGATAAATAGTTTCTCTCCACAGTAAATAAATGCTTTCAGAAATCTGTTGAATTTATAACTACTTTAAATCTTCTTCAGCTTTTTTTAAGAAGCATGTGATCAAAGTAAAAAAAGGTGAAAAAAAATTATTCACATGAAAAGATAGAATAAAAGAGAATAAAGTATTTCTCAATATAAATGAAATTCTGATAGGCACAAATAATATTTAACTTGTGTAAATACAGACACAAAAAGTATTTTTCCATTCATTCTTAAATATTGTAAGAAAATCATCAATATGGAAAATAAATGCCAGTAAAATAAAATATCCACTTGAATAATCTAGGATAAAACAGATTAAATAAGACAGTACAAGATATGAAAACAACATAAAAATGGTCAGGTTGAATCAATTTTCTCCAATGAGAAATTATAGAATTTGAGAAATTTCAAGAAATTGGAAATATATCCAACATCACATACAAAAAAACAGTTACATCATGTTAAAATGACATTGCCTGAACAACTTTTGTAAAAGATTTTTAGAATTAACAAAACCTTTTCAAAATTAAAGAATATATATATATATATATATATATATAATTATTTTAAAAAAATGATTTCTTTGCTACATAAGAGTTCTCATGTTTCAAAAACATGAGCCAAAAACTTCAAAATAATTATTAAAATTAAATTGAATAAAAGTATCAAGCTCTGTTTCATCTTCAAGCGAAATTTTTGGAATTGCACACGTATATATATATATATATATATATATATATATATATATATACAAACAAACAAAAGACAAAAAGGAAAGTATTTAACTCGGTCCTTTCTCTAATTATTCATATACTATTATTCTTAAATATCGATTAGTAAACTAAAATTATGTCCTAAAGCTGTCTTTTTGCTTTTTAGAACCACAAACATTCTTTCTGCACTTAAAAAAATAAATACATAAATAAAAATAAAAAAAAACAATAATTACTACTTTTTTTTTTTTTAATAAATAAAAACTTCTCTCCTTTTTAGTTTTTGTGCTGCCTTTTACAAAATAATATCAGTGTTGTGAGATTTCAACAACTGTCCTTTCAAGTAACAACGAAGAATGCATGAATGTAGTGAGGGTAGAGGAATTATAGTCCAAGGGAAGTAACTTGTTCAGAAATCCGAACATCTAAAAAAAAAAAAAGCTGATGATGTTTCACAAGTAACTAATTAAAAAAAAATAACTCAAATGTTTTATCGATTCAAAAATATACGTGATTATCGTTTCAACAATTCACAATATCTTTGATTTTTAAGTATAGTCTAAGGCATTAAAGAATTTACTTTAGTGGTTAATGATTGTACAACAATAAGTTTTAGGATTAAAACGTTTTCCCAACAGAAGTATCAAATAAAATAAGAAATATTTGTGAAGTATAATGAGATAAAATGACCATCCCTTATGTTGATTCTAACAAAACTTGAACATTTCCTTGACTGAGTTATGCTAGTAGTAATGTTATTTAGCATCAAAATCTTTAAAAACATTGTTTTTCTTTGTTTATGAAGGTTAAAAAACAAAGAGATACAAAAAGATTTTTTATTGATACAAGTTGACTTTTTGTGAAAGGCATCCTGTATCAATGAAAGTGTACTGATGTTGACAGGTATGCAAATAGAAAAGCTGACTACAGGCCTATTTACAGGATATTGTTTGAAATAACCAGAAATAATCCCTACTACAAAATGATAGTTCATCCATTATATTAGTCTTTCTTACTATACATATACTTGGTCATCTAGCAATGGTGTGGGTTATCATACCTTGGCAATTACCTATACTATATATATTTTTAAAACTCTATTAGGCTGATTATATATTTACATTATTTTATGTCAATTTTATTGTAATGAAAGATTAAAGACATAAGAGTTATGTAGGTAAAATTAAAACTTTACCAGTTTTCTAAAGTCAAAAATGAAAGTTAATAAGTTTTAAATATTCACTAAATAGATGCTTGCTACACAGGCAAGTTGAAGTGAAAATTTAGCAATACATTAACATTCAGGACAATGTTTTGAGAGAATCAGCAAACAAAAACTAATATCATTTACAAATGTCTACCAAGTAAACAAGACTAACAATGAGTAAATTTCCTGACATGATGACTTATGAAGAGTGTCATTGCAAGTTCTTCAGATATTAGCAGGAAGTGGTTGTTCCCAATTGCTTAAAAGATTTCTGATTTAATATCAATGTCATTTTCCTGTAACATCTATGTTGAACAACTTGGATAATTATTTCAGCCTTTTCTTCAAATAAAATTTTGAACACGGAAAAGTAAAAAAAGAAAAAAATTTCAATCTGATGCTCTAAATAAAAGATTTAGTTTGCATGTGTCTATCTTCATTCTTATGTTATATATATATATATATATATATATGTGTGTGTGTGTGTGTGTGTGTGTGTATTCCTCCCAAATACTTCAATGAGGAAAAAATTTAAGATTGCAATTTCTGTCAACAGGAAATATAAAATCTTTTGAAAGATTTCAAACATTCTTTTATACCTCACCTGATTATGACAACAAATTAATTTGCTTCAAAATATATTCATCTGATGTACCAGATAAGTCTTTAAATGATTATTTTTCTATACAAGGAGTTAACATTTTTTTTTGAATAAATTCAGAATTATCTTTGATGAACTCTAAAGAGTTTAACTTGTTACATTTACATGAATTCCACTGAAACTGTTAAATTGCTTTAGGTTATCATTTCTAGAAACTGATAAAATGTAAATGCATACAATTTAAAATTAACTGAAACATCACAGAAGAAAAAAAGTAAAACATTATGAGCTATAACATCATGTAAAGATTAATATTTTACGTAGCTTTTGTCAAAAAGTATTTTAGTCAAGTAAAAAATAAAACAAAATAAATTCTCAAAAACAGAAAAGCAAAAAGTTTAGAAATTTATCAACTCACGTTCCACTTTTGAAGAGAAATGTCATTACCAAGCTGTGAGGAAATCGAACTTTGCAGCCATATCTGAAATAATTTTTAAAACAGATTTCATTCAGCACAAAAATACCAGCATTATTTTTATTTTTATTTACAACTCTTTTCAGTCCAAATGATACAGTAATACAACTGTAAATTAAAGAAACATTTTCATATAACAACCAAAATAAAAGCAGTTCCAGAACAATAATAAAAATACACATTTATGAAAAAAGAGTTTGAATTAAAAACAAATAATATATATTATAAATAATTGATATGTACAAAAGTTTTCAGTGAAAAATCAATTTTTCAGCCTAGTTTTTGAAAAAAAAATGCTTAGAATTTTTTTTCATACACATAACATTGTTTTTACACAAATATATTTTATTTACAAGGCATCTTCATATGATAAGTAATTTTATAAAGCATGTTTTCTATTATCTTCAATTAAAACACATGAAACAATTATTTTTTGACTAGCATTAATTTAAACCTCTTAATCAATTGTTTTTATCAAAACTTTCAGGTTGTTATGAGTACATCAGAAAAAGAAAAAAAAAGACCTGGAGCAAAATTTAAATTTGCATTCCTTATCTTTGGAAGTTTATCTTACCATGACAGCACTATTACAATTAGGTCATGAAAGCATCATGAGTAGACATCTTTAAATAAAAGATATAGCTATATTTCTTCTTTGATCTCCATCATGATATTACTGTTTTTAATTTACACAAATTGTATTAGATGTAATAATCTTTGAATTGTTTAGATGAAGCATTATCAGTTAAGGCACTGTCAATGTAAAACAGCCTCTCAAGAGGAAGAGTTGTGAGTTCAAATATTTCCAGAAGCCTCTCTATGCTTCTTATCATCATAGAATAACAATCTAAGACTTGTGATAAAAAGTAACTCACGTATAAAATGAAAGAAATACTACATAAAAATCTTATATGCCAAGATATTTTTTGTCTATAACTCTTTGCTGTATCAAGTTGTCACCCTTGCACTGGTGATATCAAATGGCAATGCCATTATTATGAAATCTGGGATGTGAAAAAAACAACTCTGTGAAAGCAGACTATAAAAGTGGAAAAATATATTTATTGGGTAAACTTTTTAATGAGTCACAATGCTTCAGCTAAGAAATTTGAAATACCTTTTATTGATGGAAATTCTATATGAAGTTTTCCATACAATAGTGCTAATTATTTAATGCAAAATTATTGCTTCATAGATTTAGTAACATATCACTTAAGAGAAAATAATTTTATAGTAATTCAATTAGTTTTGCATATTTTACCATCATTCTTTGAAACAAAATTAATCCTGTAGTCAGAAGCCACACACTTTTTCTGAAATAATAATATCCAAAATTCATAAAACAATTCATTATTGTTCTGTAATTATCAGTTACTTTTGTGAAAGTTCTTTATGCATATTTATGCTTGTTTCTTGTAATTTTCTTGAACACCTGAAATTAGTGCTAAGCAATTTGAAACAAATCCTGGCAAACCTGATTTTCATTTGCCTGATATTACAAGCATTGTGCTGTACATTCATAAATGACAATAACAAATCATCTGAACTGATCTCAACAGAGAAATTATGTTACTTTGATAAATTAAAAGACAGTGACATATAATAGATCTGAAACAAATTTAAGAGTTGCATAAAATTATCTCAATTTATGAATTGAAACATCAACTGATTATTTTAACAAGTTTATTTCTTCAGTAAGGCTTTAAATAGTTGGATTGCTTCTAATATTAGGGTATTTTTGTCACTCCTCACCAAAAGCTAAAATCCATAATTTTAATACTTAATTTTAAGTCTGAAAAAGTAAGTTATATTTTCTCTTTGTCACTGACAAGAGATTCAATTCATGGAATTAATTTGGGATCAAATTTTAACAGCAATCTTGAAGAATCAAAATATTTCAAACTTTTTCTTGAATGGTTGATCTTGTATATTTTTTTAGGTTATAACTTTTCAGATTTTTACAGCTTTGACAGAAGAGGATTTCTAATGCTATTAAAGGTTTTAAATAAGAAAAAAAATTATTAATAGGACATAACATTTTGGGGCTTTTTCAGACAAATTTTTGTAACCAGTAGGAATTGATATGTTAAAATTTATTAGTCTCTCTTTATGGTTTTTTTTTATTTTTTCATTGTGGGAACTAATGCTGATTTATTTTTTTTACAGCTTATCAACCCTTTGTGGGTTATTTAAAGCCAAATCATATTTTGGATTGTAAGAATAATCTTTCTTTGTAGATGACACAATAATTTTTCTAGATACAAGTTCAACTATTTAACCAAGAGCTGATGGAAGAAGAGATGGATTCATATCTTTCCTAAGGGTATTTGTGCATAAATGAATGTAACAAACATGACTGGAATTCAAACTCAATTCTCTGATTTCTCATTTTGAACCACTATCCATTACACCACTTGCACATCTAGGAACTAATGTAAAATGCCAATTTTGTGCCTTATCATTGATAAAAAAAACACAAATTTTATCAGTTTTCAGTAAGATTGGTTAAAAAATAAAATAAGAAAAGATTTCTGCTGGTTAATAAGCCTAGTCTGCAAGAAGATTAGACACTATAACACTTTTGCACCCCACCACCCCTCCCACCCCAGTGTGTATTGTAAACAAGTCAGAATTGGCATTAGTCCTTCCAATAATAATCAATAATTGAGACAATTAAAAATGACTTACTTAAATATTCTTACAAGCACATAACAAAAGTAGAATAATATAGCAACAATAACATTATATAAAAATCATATTAAGCACAAAAAAGTCATATAAATAAACAATTTCAACAATAATAATACAGAAAAGAATGGGCGCTTATTTATGAGGTGGTGGGGTAGTTCAAAAGTGTAATAGCACCAAAGATTAAATGGTGGAAGGAAATGGAAGGGAAAATGATTGTAATACTCCAACCTTACAAGTAGGTAAGATCTACCAGATCTTACCAGAAAACAAAACATTAAAAATCTTGAATTTTAATTGAGATTAAACACTGATGTTTGGCATTAATGGGAAATATACAACTATCTTAGCCACAAAACAAGCTTAGGATTTCTTCTGCATTTATAGTTGTACACTGTAAGTCAACAATATTACTTTGCTAATTTACATATGCCATCAGAAATGAGTTCGTATTTTATTAATTCTTTACTATTATTATGTTTTAGTTTTCACATATGACTAAATATTAATTTATTCTTATTGCATTCTTACTGAGCCAAGTTCAAATTGCAGCCTAGTCTGTTTCATTCATGTTGCACAAATACCCTTAGAAAAGGCATGAATCCATCTGTTTCCTTTTTGGCATCTAGTTTTATTGTTGTAAGTTCTATGCTAACAGTGCCTTCTCTCACTCTTCTTATTTGTGGAACATTCTTTTAGCTTCTTGCTTTCCTGTCAACTACAATCTTCAAAAATCTAAATACAATGTCAAGCTTTATCTTCTATCTTCTTTTGTCTTCACTCCTTCGTGTTTTTCTCAGATTCTTTCAGTCTCGGTAACCCCTTGTGTCTTGGTGAATTAATATAAAAAAATTAACAGATAACAAAAAGAATGTGTGGAAAGCCATGTTGGCCTATGTCCTGAAGGGATAAGGCATTAAAAAGAAAGAGGAAACTCTGCTCTTTCACAGTTAGTCATTTCACTTTCAGCTGCATAAACATCTTCAAACAGTTTTCTATTGCAAAAACAAAGACACTGACATCTGGCGTTGCCAGTACAAGGGAGATAATTTTAGTTATTGACTAGAGACCATTTTAGATTTTCAAATAATTTTTACGAAAACCAAACGTCTATATCGCATTTTTTTTTCATTTTTTTTAACATTGATATTTTTGGCTTTGCGTTGAATTTGAAAATTTCGAAATTCAACTTAAACTATTTTTGGTACTGTAGGTGGACAGCTTTTTGTAAACATTTTTCTTCACCTTTTTTCACAATGGTACTAGTTTTGAATTAAGTAAGCAGTGTTATCGCAAAAAATGTAAAGTTTAAAAATTTAGGATTACGAGTATTATTAATGTTTAAAATTTAACATGCGTGGCCGGACTCACTTATTTTTGTAAGAGTATAGTTTGTTGTTTTTTTAAACGTTTCAATTTTTTACACAACACTGTTTTTTAACTCTATTTTCGTTTTATTTTTGATACAAGGTCCGACCTTTTATGTTTTTGTTTTCAAAATTTGAAACTTATATTGATCTCAAATGTGAATAGAATTTTAAATTTTTACTTACGGAAAACATTGAAATAATATTGCTTTTATGATTTACGTTGTTTAATGTAAGACAATAAATCAGTGTTAGTGTAATAATCGTTTGAAATGTTGGAACCAACTAGTCAAGGTATCTCGTAAAAAGAGTAAAATTAAAATATTTTAGTTTTCTTAAGCGATTATTAATGAACATACATGTTTCAAATACAACGGACATTTTAAATATTTTACATCTATGAAAATTGAAAATATACAGTAAAATAATTAAATTTAAAAATATATGATTATTTTATTTGCTTAGTACACTGAGTGAAATTTTTCTTACTGCACTGTTGTCAAACTAAGTTAAAAAATTCTTTTACTACATTCAAATTTATTTAATTTAAAAAATATTTTACTATATAAAACAAAAGCATTATCTTACAACAAAATAGATATTTAATTTATTTTAATTATTTATAGTGAGGAAAATAATAATTTTAAATTTGTTTAAAAATAACTAAAAAAAAGTGTCAACAAACGTAAAATCTAACTCAGAATAGAATATGCACAGAAAAGTCAGTCATAAATCAAATCAAGCTCACTTACACCACACCATTTCTAAAACCCTTAATAAGGGCTAGAATTGGTTTGTATTTGTCATTGGTAAGAATAGAATTGATTAAAGACAACGTTGTTGCCATATTTTTAGTTAGTTGCAGTTGATTGACACCGCTAAAAATCTACCGGTGTTAACATTGTTTACAATACCCATTTAAAATTCAGTCAGTCAGTTATGTGCCATTCGTGATACACGCTTAGGCGATCATGTATCTTTCGATACATGACTGACGAGGCAGACTTTTTCCCACAGTAGATTGCAATTTTTTTCTGCAGTAGACCAATTGCCATCCAAGGCTATAAAACCTGGTCTGTCCTGCTATTTACCCATAGCTGGAGGTGGTGGGAAGAGAAGGATTCATACCTTTCCCAAGGGTATTAGCATGTAAGTGAAATGAAATGTAATGAATTTGACTGGAATTCGAACTCAGCTCTCCGATTCCTCAATCTGAGCCGCTACAATCCGATAAAAGTTTTGTTGCATTATCAAGAATCATTTATACTTACAAGTTGTCATTTATTCACATATTTTGAAATCGGTTGCAACCACTGTTTTTGCATGCAATTCCCTTCATATTACCAGTCATCCAGATCCACAGTAAACTATTGATAAATAAATTCCCCCATGATAATGTGTCAACAAATCAATAATTTGTAGCAAGTGCAAAATAATAACTCCCTTTCCCATTCCCTTCAAATTTGGGTGAGCTGAGGAAAAAGACTCAAAAAAATTCATGTCTATGTTAAATTTTCTTTGGGCTAATGAAAACCTTGTCTTCACAGAAATTAGTTGTTGAGCCAAGAAGAAGAAAGTGGGAAGTCTCTACGAAATTCTTTTTAATATAAAATGAGGAGAAATATAAAATTAACAAGAGAAGAGTGTCTGAAGTCAGGTGAATGGTTTCATTTCTGTTTGTAGAATTAGATTTCTACATTCTCTATTTTAAACCTGTTAAAAGAGGATCACAGCTAAGTATTCTCAGTTTGTGTTGAACCCATTAAAATTGGCTCCAGAGTTCAGTACAAAACAATGCTTTTTGATTGGTCCATAAATAATAATGTCATGTTTCTGCCTACACCCACACGGTTGACCTCGAGTTGACCTGTTTAGAGTTCAACGTGCCAAAAATTGGTAAACATTCTTTCGAGCCTCCCACAGGATCAAGAAAATTCATAAATATTAAACTTCGACACAACTTAGTCAGAATCAACTCATCACACGAATCCATGAAACCCAACCTTCTCGCTAAAAGTTAATTTTTTATTAACATCAACCTGGCTTGTGGAATTCAATTTCTTTTCAACATCAACTCATCTAGTGACTAATTCAACTAAGACGAGATTCAGAAACCAACTCACTCAATATCTTAACAACAATCGTAACTATATTAGTTGAAGTGAGATAACTACAGTAAATCAAGCAATCTATTTCATTCAATTTCACCATCAACATAAACTGTTTAATTTCTTACCTGAGTTATAGCATAACACCTTTTATATTACCCTTGATCACATAACCAAGAAATTTAAAATGTTTTAAACAACTTTATTATATCGTGTGTACTTGTGATTTAAAAATATTTTCTGTTAAAACAAATATCTGCCTATTTCTCTTGTTGTTGTCTTTGTTGCATTTGATTTAGTAAAAGTAGTACAGGGTTAGTTTAATTTGTATTTGTCACTGATACAGATTGGCTAATCCACTACATGTTCACAACGTCCAGTGTTGAAGTTTTTGCCAGTGTTAAATTACTTGCCAATTATATTAATGGTTTTTAACCAACTACATGGCACTTCAAAGAATTTTCTCTCAACAATCCAAGAAAGCTAAATATTTCAAACTATATCTTTTCATTCGCTCATTCATGTTATAGACAAGCGTATGGTTGCAAGAAAGAAATACGACAACAGCAGAAATAGATTTACATGGTTTATTTCAACAGGAATGTGTGGGTTTGGGACAGCTACCTTGTGGTAAAGTTCATAAGCCAGCTTTCGGATCTAGGTCGATCTCTCATAGTAGTTCACACATGTTGACGGTGGTTGACGTTCCCCTACTGTCAGCAGCTGAACGTGACAGGTCTCTATCCTGGGCACCTGTGGACTCACGTTGAACTTCCATGTGACCCCTTTTATAGTGTTTTTTTATGGCTTAACAGGCTCGAAAAATGAAGCAAGTATAATTAGGAGGGAAGCATTTTTATTGGACGAAAAATAGAGCACATTAAATATTATTTTATTTTTTGACCGGAACACATGTGTCGGGAACATTTGTGAAGAAAGATAATGGTCATTTTGTGACGGGGCTTTGTCCCGTTTACATCTGGTTCTCGCTCTTGAGTATTTGCCTGTAAATCAGCCGAGATATGTCTTATTTTATTTTATAACAGAATGTATGTTTCTGTATATCCCTTCTTTGAGTAACTAACTTTTTTTATCTTTTATACATTTTTTAATATTATTTTGTATCAGATCATTTAATCTGTTGTAATTTCCTCTTCATAACAATTTGTTAAAACTATGGAATTTAAAAATTTGATTTATTTTTCTGAAATGAGCACATAACATAATTCACCCAACCTTATACTGTAGCTGAATCTGTCCTGATTTCTACTTCTCTCAACCTCCACTTTAGGGCCAAATTAAAACCCTTTAATACAGCCTCTAACTCAGCCATATGGTTATAATCTTCTTTTTTCTTAACCATGCTGTATCTTCAGCCACCACACCATGTATCTTGATGACTACACCTATAACAATGCTGCTTGCATCACACCAAACTACACCTGTTTTTGAGTTAGATACATGCCATTTTCCACTCACTGGGTCCTCCTTCTCTAACACTGCTAAAATCTCCTGTATCATAGCAATTGTCCCATCATCCACTAATCCCACTTGCCCTACTTTTTACATAACTACATGCTGCTAGTAGCCATCCAGCAAAGCGATAATGTCGCACCAATTTGCCATAGATTGAGATCTGCTGACATCTTTCTTTGTACCCTATTCTCCCTTGTAAACACCAGTTTTTCCTGGTTTATCTCTCTTTAATTGGAGCCCCAGAATTGCCTCTCACCTTTTCTATTAAACCAAATTTTTTAAGATGATTAACTACTTCCTCTACTGACACTTTAGTCACATCTACTATGATTCCATCAATATACAAGTCTGTGGCTTCTTATACTTTATTCTTCTTTCCCAGCACGGTTTTTAGAACTGCTGCTATAATCCCTATATTTTACCAACTAGTACTGCCACAATTTCTCTATGATATGTAGTTGTAAATAGGTTCACAATTTTGGTTCTCCCTGTCATTTACCTCCACTTTCTCAACTTTTTCTTTGTATATTTCACTCCCCATATGACATGTTACATAATTTAAATGAAAGTTTCTTGTCCTCAGTTCAAAAGTTGGGTTTAGTTCAAGGTTGGAAATTCCAACAGGACAATGATCTAAAGCATCAAAGCAAATCCACAAAAGAATGGATTCATAAAAAGAAATTTCAAGTCTTTGAATGATTTAGTTAAAGTCCTGATCTAAACCTAATTGAAAATCTGTGATTGAAGTGAAAGAAGGCAGTACATGCAAGAAACCCAGGTAAAACTGAGCAATCATGTGAGTTTTGCCAAGAAGAATGGTCAAAAATCAGCACTTACTACTGGGAGAAACTTCTTAAAAATGATAGAAAAAACTGGTTAACATAGTAACGTCAAAAGGAGCAGTCACCAAATATTAAATGTAAGGGTTTAATCACTTTTACATGCCTTAATTTTGAATTATGAATTAATATTTTTATTCCAGCTTGAGGAAAATTTTTGAAAGTGGTTGTAATTGATTTAATAAAGGTTTTTCTCAATTAATATATAGTTTAATTAAAATTGGTTAATCATCTGGAAACAAGAGACAATTTTTAAAAATATTATCTTAGAGATTCACTTACTTTTGCACAGCACTGTATATAATTTTTGAGAAGTTGATGCTAAGAATCAAAACCTCTGGCTTAGAGATGTATCATTATCAAGAGGATTTGGTATTGTTTCCTGTTATCTAATATGAGACATTCCAAAATAATGC